ATTTCTTATTACATGAATTTGAGTTTTTCTTTCCTTTTGTTAATAAGGTTGGCTAGGGACTTATCAATTTTATTTATTCTTTCAAAGAACCAACTCTTTGAAAGAATTGTTAATTCTTTGTATCATTTTTTTGATCTCTACTGCATTCATTTCTGCTCTGAGCTTTATAATTTCTTTCCTTCTTTTGGCTTTGCGCTTGACTTGCTCTTCTTTTTCTACATGTTTGAAGTGTAGCATCAAGTTGTTTATTTGTGTTCACTCTGTTTTCCTGATGTGGGAATTCACAGCAATATATTTCCCTCTGAGGACTATTTTCAATGCATCCCACAGGTTCTGTTGACTGTATTTGTATTTTCATTTGTTTGTAGATATTGTTTAATTTCTTCTTTAATTTCCTCTGTGACTCACTGATTACTCAAGAGTATATTATTTAATTTCAATGTGTTTATGGAGTTTTTGCAGTTTCTTTCATCATTAATTTCTAATTTCATGGCACTATGATCTGATAACACGCAAAGGATAATTTCAATTCTTTTGCATTTACTTAAGCATGTTCAATTGACTAGTATGTGGTCTATTTTAGAGAATGTCCCATGTGAAGCTAAGAAGAATGTATATTCCAATGTTGTTAGGAGGAAGATTCTGTACACGTCCACTAAGTCCATTTGCTCACAAGTATGATTCAGTTCTGTTATTTCTTTCCTGATTTTCTCTCTAGTTGATCTGTCTCTTTGTGTCAGTGGAGTGTTAAGGTCTCCCATTATAGTTGTGTTATTGCTTATTTGATTTTTAATTTCTATTAATATTTGTTTTATATAGCTGGGTGCTCCTGAATTTGGTACATATATATTTAAGTTTGTTATGTCTTCCTCTTGAGATTTTCCCCTAACTAGTATGTAGTAACTTTCTTTATCTCTTTGGATCTTTCACATTGTCTACAAATAGAATAGCTACCCCTGCTTTTTTTTGGGCGGGGGGGGGGGGGCTCCTGTTGCACATAGTATTGTTTTCCATCCTTTGACTTTCAGTCTATGAATTTCATTTTGGGTTAGATATGTTTCTTGTATGCAGCATATGGTTGAATGTTGTTTCTTGATCTATTTTGCCAGTGTGTTTCTTTTTAATTGGTGAATTGAGGCCATTTACATTAATAGTTATAACATATATATTGGCATATTTTTGTCATGTTATCTTTCTGCTGTGGTTTTTTACCTTTTCCCTCTGTTTGTTTACTTTGCCTAGTTGGTTTTTTTCCTTTGGTATTCTTCAAATCATAGTTATTGTTATGTCTATCTAGAAAGTCTTTCAGTATTCTTTGCAGGATTGGTTTAGTGGTCATGAAGTTCTTCAGCTATTCTTTATCATGGAAGTATCTTATTTCTCTATCAATTTTGAAGGACAGTTTCTCAGGGTACACCAATCTGGGTTGGAATTTGCTTTCCTTTAGGCTATGAAATACTTTACTCCTTGCTCTTCTTGACTTCATTGTTTGTGTTGAGAAGTCTGATGTAATTCTGTTGGGCTTTCCTTACAGATGATCTGTCTCTTCTCTCTAATAGCTTTTAATATGCTGTTCTTATGTTGAATTTCTGGAATGTTGATTATTATATGTCTGTGTGTAGTTTTATTTTATTTATGGCTATTTGGAGTTCTATGTGCTTCAGTCATCTGTATGTCAGTTTCCTTTCCCACACTGAGGAAATTTTTGGCAATTACTTCTGTAAATAGTCTTTTGATATCATTTGTGTTGTCACCTTCTTTTTTGTTTACACCTATCAATCTTATGTTTTTTTTCTTTGCATCATCCTGCAACTGTTGAATTGTTGTTTCTTGATTCCTTGTTATTTTTCAAAAGCTCTTTCCTTTTCTGTTCACTAGCTGTAATCTTGTCTTCAAGGTCTGAAAGTCTATCTTCACTTTCATTGAGGTGGTTTTGTCAACTTTCAATGGAATTCTTGATTTCTTGGGTATCTTTGAATCTGTTTCATGCATTTTGTTTCTTTCTTATATTGTTCACTCAAGATTTCCATCATTTTTCAGTGCTCTTCAATTTTTTAAACTATGTCTTCTATAGATGTGTTCAGCATTTCTTTTATTATGTTTATTGTTTCTTTTTTTACCTGGGAGATTGTTTCTGATCTGTGTTCCTTTACAGCTTCCTGGAGTTGTTTCTTTATTCCAGTTGCTATCATTTCAGATATTTCAGGTGTATAGCTTACATTTTCTGCCATGTGCATGTCTCCTAGGCTTGTTTTGGATGAGCTGGAGGTTTGAGATTGCATTTTTCTCTTTTGTTTTGTCATTTTCCTGTATTTCCCTGGGGAAGCTGAATGCAAGTTCTCAGTTGCTTCCTGGAATGAGAGTATCTGTCTGTTCTGCAAGGAGTTTCCCCAGTTGAGTGGAGGCCATTAGTTAGGCCTTACCAGATCTCTAGTGGCATTTTTAGGGTCCTCAAATGTGGGGCATATGCTGGGCTGGCCTGGAGTGCACCCCATGTGATACTCTGAAGCTCTCTGTTTGCTTAAGGTTGCTGGGTGGGACTCTACTAGGTTCTGAGTGGCATACCAAGGCTGAATCACTAGTTGAAGTATGCTATACAGGCCTTCAGCTCATGCTGCATGGCACACCAAAGTTCTACAGCTAATTGGGATCACTGGGTAGGGCCCTGCCAGGTTCTGAGCAATGTGCCAAGGTTGCACAGTTAGATGGAGATCACTCTGTAAGCTTTTTCCTCATGACAGAGTGTAGGTAGCTCCCTAGCCAGGTTCCACACTACATGCCGAGATTGTACAGCTTTATGGAGATTACTGCACAGGCTTTCAGCTCACAATACAGAGCACAGGTGGCTCCCTGGCCACTCAGGATAACTGGGTGGGGCCCAGCCAGATTCCCAGGGATCTACATGAAATTCCTCCAGTGATTGAGGATGCTGGGCAGGGCCTAACCAGTCTCAAGAAACCTTAACCAAAGGCACTACAGGAGTGACTAAAGGGAAAGTCTGAACCATGGTGACAGTGGATCTTTGGAGCACACTGCCCAGAAGGAAAACCAAGCGCCTATCTTTAAAAAGCGAGATCATTGACTGCTACCTCTGGGCTTCTGCCCTCATGTCATAATGTGACTGCAAATCCCAGCTTCATGTATGCACACAATAGCATCATACCCAGAGACATATATTCTATGTCCAAGGTATAATGACAATGTAGTTCATCCAAGATGATGTAACAGTCAGGACCTAATGCCCTCAGGAGTTCACTCTGATGTGATCAGTTGGGTGGGAGCTTGTTCTTCCAGAAAATGAATGAGCCTCCACCATATAAAGCACTGTAGAAGAACCCATAAACACAAATATTGAATAAAAACACAAATCTCAGAAGAATGACATATCACCTGACCCTATTTCCATAAACTCAAAAACAAGAACTGAATAGGATCCCACTTAGGCAGTCAGACATAAGGTAGATAGCAAAGTAAAATAAAAGGAATGTAAATAATTCTAGAGTGATTGTGTTGGCGGAGGTCAGAAGATGCGTGCAGAGGGGCTGTGAATTGTGACAGGGGTGGTGATGGCTGGAAGTCACCTAGCTGTGGCTCACCATGTCACATGCACAAACCTGGCCACACTTCCCAGCCACCCTGCAGAGTAGATGAACTGCTAACTGAGGATGGCTCATAAGGAGTAGATAGAAGAGTTTTGCACCACAGCCCAGCCCCTAGAAATTCCTTGTCATCACGTTACCCTCAGTAAGGAACCCAGGAAAAACCCAAGGTTCCAGAATGGAAATGACCAGCTGGCCCCAGAGAGTCCAGTTCTCTATACCCACTTCCCAATGGAAACCCATCCACTTCCTTATACTCAACTGTACATAACCCTTTCCACGCTTGCTTGATCTCACTAGTGGAAACATCCCAGCTGTCAAACTGAATGGTCAGTTCATGGATTCTGCTCTTGTTACTGTAATTTAGATAGACCTCTTTGAATTAATCAAATCATATATAATAGAAATACTTTACAATGCCAGTCTCATTCCCCCTTGAAACTTTCTCACCTTCAGTCTAGTCCTACTTTTGGAGGAAATATTTCCTCAGGATTTTATGCTTTTATTTCTTCTATTATTTATATCCCTAATTAGAAAATGGAAATATCAATTTCTTACTGGCTAACTTTAGACAAGATTCACTGTTATATTAAAGTTAATATATAATTTATTTAATTTATTCAATTAAAAACAAGAGTCCACCATTGTCTTCCTCTTCTCTCCCAATATTTGTTACGCATGTTGGCAGATCCTACTTCACTCCTTAGGCCTATAGCTTTAATCCCTTTCTTTCTCCCTCCATTACCTCTGAAATTCCAACGCAGGAAACGCAATAGTGCTTCCCTCTTTTCTTCTTTTCACTTCCCTCCTGTTTCCTGCTCACATTTGCCTATACCATCTTGCTTTGCTCTATCAGGGTGTTAACATATACAGTTTCTTCTGCCATCAAGATCAAGTGCCCTAGGATTTGTTCACAGGTTATCCTTAGAAACGGAAAGCCAAAAGACCAGGTGTTTATAATCATGACTTCATGAACATGGAAGAGAGCAGGTGGAGACCATGCCTTCCAGAGGCTGCTTCAACAGAGCCCAGTTCCCTGAGGATTCCCTTTTCTGGCTTTGTCTCACTGGCCTCTGAGTTCTCTGATTTTCATTTGTGTCTCTTTTGTACAGTTTTGTGGATTCATGCACCTTTGTTTCATCTTGTTTATCATAGCCTACATTTTTTTCAAATGCTTAGATGATGCATCACATCAGGTCCCCTCTGCCCTGGAGCTTCTAAGATCTTGCTCTTGCAAAGAGAGGTCTCTGTGTGCACTCTCTCAGATCACTCTTCCCCTGCCATCTAACTTATACTATGTACTCTTTTTATTTTTCTTTCTTTATTTATTTCATTTATTTCAGCATTTTTCTGGAGCATATCCTCAAGTCACTTCTTAAGAGAAGCCACATGGAAGATTAATTTAGTTTGCATAAAGATGCTTTTATTGCATGTGATCATGATTCCCACTGTGCATAGGACCAGTCAGAAGGCAGGGCCCAGGAATAGCTTGCCCAGCAGTTGCCAAAAAGAGGGGAGATGTTAGTTTGTTCATTGTTTCTTTGCAGATGACTTTTTTTCCCCTCTCTTGGAACTGTTGTTGTTTTCAATTTTAGGTGTTATGCAACTTTATGGTAATCTGCCTTGCTGTGAGTCTTTTGTTATCCCTTTTGCTTGGCACTTCTATAAGCCTTTTCAGTTTTAAGGTTTGTGTTTTTCTTCAGCCTCAGAAAAGCTCTTGCATTATTTACATGATCATTTCCTCCCATCCTTCTCCCCTGCTTTCCTTCCTGGATATTGGCCTCCTGGAAACTGTCTCTATATCTCTAATCTATTTGCTTAAAATTCCCATCTCTGTCATTTTGCTGTGTCCTTAGATTTATTAAACCCTCTTTTCCATCTTCCTGTATTGCTATAAGAGTAGAGCTATCCTTTACAAACCAAGTGCTTATTTCAGTGTCTGCCTGTCCCTTCTCTGTGCATGCTGGTTCTTACTTTATGGCTGTAATATCCTCCCAGCTGTCTCTGAGCATGTTAATTGGAGTATTTTTAGAGGACTTTTTACTCACTTTGCCGTTTCCTCTGGCCTTAGGTTTTCTCAAGGCACTTGTCTTTATCTTTTATGCACTTGTGTCCCCCAAATGTCCTGGGGTCCCTGCTTGTCTAATCACATAAAAATATGAAGATTAAGACACTGTCTGTGCTTGCTCTGTTATGGCATGGTAGGTCTTGTTTTGGGCTCAGTCTCTCTACTGCATAACACTACTAACTTCAGGTTTCATGATGTTGTAAAGAGATGGGGCCATTTATTGCCCTATTCTCTGCAGAGTAATGAATTTGGGCTCCAAGTGGAAGAGGAAAGGGTGTCTTTCTGGCTTTCTGGAAGGGTAGGTCTCATGGCTTTTGCGGAAAGCCTCAGAATGTGTATGCATCAGAATCCCATGGTGGGGGTGGATGGAGGACTGCTGCACGGCAGGGTTGTCCCAGCAAAGGCCTCCTGTTCCACCTGGCTCTGAGCCCCAGGGCTCCCCATTCCTGGGCTTCCTGGGATTCCAGGGGGCGGAATCTCACTGCTGTCTCCTGCCAGGATCTGGGCTGTAGCATCTTCCTGTTTTTATAGGTCAGCTTACATCCCTCTGCTTTCTGCCTCCCCAAAATTTATTTAAATCTCTTAGTCATTGTTGTGAGGATTAAAATGCAATTATATATGCAAAGCACATTTTACAGTACTGGGTATATAAAGAGTGCTGGATAAATGTTAGCAATTATTATCACAGTTGGTAAAGTGATTTGCCCAAGATGGTGAGACCATTCCTTCAAGGAAGTACTGGTTTAAGAACAAAGGCCTAACTTCCATCTTAAACAGTGTCTTCCCAGCTCCCCAGGTACAGTGACAGGCCTAGAGTTCCATGCCCTGCCACATAGTTCTTTCCCCACCTCCACTTCTGGGCCCTGGGATGTGACTCGCTTTCAGAGTAAGGCAAAGGAGGCCAGGCAGTACTGGCATGGCAGGAAGATGGAGGTAATTTCTCTCAGCAGCTGTCAGAGAATTCCTGCAGGACAAACAGAAGAGGGAGAGACTGAGACACCTGGGGTTATAACATGAGTTTCCCAAAGGGGGCACTTCTGGGTGTTTTCTGGCAGGTGAACTGCCCCCATTAGGGGTGGCAGAGTCCAGGCTGACCCTGATCTCCATACCTGGTGTCAATGCCTTGTGCATTGCCCTCCCTGGGAGTGTGAGTGGAAACAGTGACTTGCTTTTGACCAACAATAGTGCACAGGTAATGGACACCCTCCCATACCTATTCATGTGATGTTACATAAAATTCCTTCTGCTGCCCCTTATCAGGCGTATGGAGCCACCCTGTGGGGCAAGAAACTTTCACTTCCTCTAAACACTGAAGTGACCCTTAGGAACATGAGGTGACCCACGACAGAAAGCCAAATTCACAACTGCAAAGGTGCACTCCACCAAGACCCTGAGTAAATTTGGACCCAGGTCCTGCCCCTCACCAACTGTTGGGATGAGAATACAACCCAGCTACAGCCACATTGCTGCCTAGGAGGAGGTTTCAGTAAAGCCCTTGCAGAGCTAAGTCCTTGTTCCTTTTAAACTTAAGGTGGTAAAGGATGCCCATGCTGGCTTAAGCTGCCCAATACCTGGTCATTGGTCTCACCATACATCCTGCAGCATGCTAAACACTATAACATGGGATAATGACCAATCCAGGATTGCCATCTGGGACACCAAGGAGCATATTTGTGAGGCAGAGGGTGATGTACAGCCCAGTGTCTCAGGCACTGTGGTGTCAGGACAATGGCTATTCTGTGACTTGCTGGCCTACCTTCTCATAGGAGGTCAGCTTGCAATGTCCCAGGTAGAGGAGGGGCAGAGGCCCAGCACTCATTTGCTATGCTCTTTGAAGCAGCCTCTTCTGGTCTGCTTGAGTTCAAGTCTCCATCTAGGGCGGTGCTGCAGAAGATCCCATACTCCATCAGGTAGAAAAAGCAAATGGCGTCAAGGTACATGCAACTTAATAATAAGAAAATAATTTTGTTCTACTCAGGCAGTGGCTCTGCTCCCATTGACTGCTCAGCCCCACCTGGCTGACATTTATAGGGTTCCTGAGCATGCATGTCAACAGAAGCAACATCTACATTCCACAATACCTTGTGATGTAGGAACTCTAAGAAACATTTGATTGATGGGGAGACAAGACAAGGAAGTTTAGAGAATAGCTCAAGACCACATAGCTAAAAATAAGGGTGATGGAAGACTCACTTCAGGTAGGGCTCTCCAGGTAGGGCATCCAGCACTGGTCCACACTGCTATGTGAATGAGTGAGTTCCTACCCACACTGAACTAACTTGTCTCTTTAACCCCAAAATAGGCACTGTACTGGTAACACTTCCCTCACCTGGGTACATAAATAGAAGTAGCACCTGGGAAGTACTAGGTAAATATAAATATGAGGCTGCCCTAGAATCCTCTTGGGTGAAATGTGCAGCAGGAACAGCTCTGCGCCCAGAAGTGGATCCCATCAGCTGTAGGCTGGCAGCATTCTACCATGGAACCCAAGGAAATAGCTGTGAAAGATAGGCAGACTCAGCTCAGTGCCCAGGCTTCGTGACTTGGGAAATTACCCACATTCTGACCGTCTGTTAAGTCATCCCTGCCTGCCACTCACATAGTACATTTGTCTAGGGCATGAAGCAAACCTTGATCAGGAAGAGTTTTCCACTACAGTATAGCACTTGTGAATCTGTCTAGGAAGGAATCGTGGCCAAAATAGCGATGAGTGGCTCTGGCATTGCCTCTTGACTTCAACATGGAGCCATCCGACTCTTCTTGTGGCTCAGGCCAGTTCTGGAATTTGCAGGAAAGAGAACCACTGAGGCTTCATCTTGTAACCCCTGTGCTGAGGGACTTGGAGTGAATATGAAAGGCAGTAGGAAGAAAAACAGATCCTTAGGAGGTGACCTACCTTGTGCTGGAGCATCTGCAGGCTTCTGACACCCAGTAACCTCTCTGTCCTCACGGTGACACACTGATATGTATAAAACTTGCCATGTTTTCAGAAGAGAAGCTTGACACTCAGTGAACCTGCAAGGTCGCATAGAATAAGAATTGTCTCCCTATAGACATTTGTTCAAAGAACCATAAATCAGGAAGAAAATGATAAGTATCAAAGCTATTGAAATGAAACAAGTCAGTTGGCCTTTAGAGTCTTTTATCTTTATTGGCCAAATGCCTGGAATAAAACCTGCTTCTTAGAGTTTTTGTGAAAATTTGAAGATCCATTAGGTAAGATAGCGCCTACATGCTCAGACCACGTAGTAGGGACATAGCAAGTGCTTGGAAATCACATCTAATGAGGACTGATTTAAAGCAATTTTTGAGGATAATAAAGTGGAATACGATGTTAGCTAAAGAGTCGGGATCAAGAATTCATATAGCAAAGAACTGAAATAGACTTTAAAGGAGGAGTGGGATTTGGGCAGGTGCTATCAATGTGACAGCACAAAGTGCTCTGTACCAAAAGACATTCTTTGGCCTGGAGAGCAGGGTAAGATCAAGGAGCACAGCCAAAGGGGTTACCTGGAACACCCCCACTGCAGGGAAGCCACAAACAGGGAAATATTATGGAGTACATGAGGCCCTGAGGGTGATGTGACTCTTTTCTGGTTGGCTCACATATAAACTCTCATTTCCAACAATTCATGGTTCAGTGAGCTCAGGCAATTTTCAAACAATTGTACATGACTAGCAAACCTCATCTTGAGGCACACGCTTGTATATCAGCCACCCACTCAGGCACCAAGTGTAATACGGCTGATTTCATCAGAACAGTAGCTGGGTGGACACAAAGTCTGGAAGCCCATTCCCACATCTGACTGGCCTGACTCTCATCTCAGGGAGGCCTCTCTCACTAGTAAGAGCTTGAAAGACAATGGTTTACATCACCAAAGACAAGAAGAAAGATCAATGATAAAGAAACGTTATGTTTTATATTTAAAATGTCCCCCCAAAGTCTCATGTGTTTAGAAGGTTATTGGATCATGGGGCACTGCACTTATCAATAGAGTCACCCGTTGACAAGTTGAGAGCTGAATGTGCTACTGGGGGGATGAGACTTGGTGGCAGGATGAGGTCACTAGGGTGTGATACAGAAAAGTGTTTTCTTATCCCTGGATACTCCCTTCTCTCTCTCTGCTTACTAGCTGCTATCGGTTTCCTCTACCATGATCTTCCACATGCCATTTCTGCTTTGGAGCCAGCCAACATGGACTGAGTCCTCTGAAAATTATGAGAAAAAAATAAACCTCTCCTCTTTCATGTTGAGGGTGTCAGGTATTTTATTCCAGTGACTTACAGGAAAGTGACTAATACAAGAACCAGAGTTCCCCTTGCATTTCCAGTTATGAACGAATGCCAACATCTAAAACTATTCTTCTGTCATTAAAAACTAAACTAGAAAACAACACAAATTGAATAAAGAAGTCTTTGTAGATACTGAAGTTTGGGCAATGTAGAACTTTGACTCAAAGGGAAGAGACACAGAGGAAACGACAATTATCATAGCCCAAGGTTTCTACTTGGAACCAACTCTGGATGCAACACAAGAAGAGAGACCCAAACAGAATCTGGAAACATTGCTAAATTAAGTAGATAGAGATCAGAGTTCAACAAGGCCAAGCCAACATGGGTTTGTAGGGCAGAGCTACAGGGAGGAGGAAACTATGTGACAAGAAAAAATTGTAGAACTTGCATGGGGTTTTCTAGAGTTTGGCTAAATACCAGTTTGGGCAGATGGAGCAGAGAAGTGTGAGTTAAATCAAGCCCAGTGCTCACAGAGTGTGGGTTCTCGCACGGTACAAAGACTTTGTTAAAATCACAGAACAGTTAGGAAGGACACAGAATGATGTGGGTTGTAGAAGTGGGCTTATATAGTTCAAAATTAAAGGTGAATTTTGACCCAAAGAGTCAAAAAACAAGAGCTAAAAAGATCAAAATAATCTAGAGGTAACATAACAGGCTGCCAGAGAAAATCCAAAACTCTTTGTAGGAATGTAACAAAATCTAGCACCTATGAAAATAAAATTCAAAGTGACTTAACCCAAGCTTTTAAAAACTAACTGTTCAAAGAAATGGGAAATTTTAGCCAGGTATGGTGGCACATGCCTATCATCCCAGTGCTTGGGAGGCTGAGGCAGAGGAATACCATAAATTTAAGGCCAGACTAGACTAGTGAGACTGTCTCAAAAAGCAGAAAGAAATAGGACATTTTGATCCATACCTAGATAGGAATTCAATTCCTTGAAATAGGCTCAGCAGAAAAATGGTATTATAAGGCAAGATTATAAGATATTATATACCATGGTTTACATGTTTATAAATATAAAGTAAAATACGAGAAATAATGGGTAAAGAAGTGGAGAATATGAAAAACACCAACTAGAACCTCTATAGAAGAATATAACTAAGGTTTGACACAAAATTCTCCCAGGCAGAATTAGCAGCAAATTAGACAGAAAGAAAATAGACCAGTAAACAAAAAGCACAGCAATCTATTTAAACTTAAATAGAAGATGAAAAAAATATTAAATATGTAAATGGAGCTTCAGTGACTTGTAGAATAATCTCAAGTGGCCTGACATCCGGGAATTGCAATTCTAAAACATAAGGTATGGTAGAGAAACACAGACAACATATTTGAAGAAATAATGGGAAAATTTGTTTCATATTTTGCTATTAAAAAATGATCAAGGCCATGAGTTCAATTCCTGGTGGCCCCACTCCCCCTAAAATATCACAAATCTAACATCTTACTAAACCCAAAGCAGATAAACTTACACACATATAACACCATCAACATTACCTCTAGCTATCACTGTCACCACCACCACCATCACTACCGACACCACTACTGCCACCATCATCTTTTCCATAGCCACCCACCAAGATGCACTGTAAAAGAAAAATTAAGTCAACTAGGGAAAAAGACTGGAGCAAAAGTAAGAATAATCATGAATTTGTATCATAATTTATGCAAGCCAGAAGACAACAAAATGATATCTTTCAAGTGTGAACATGGGGAAGAATATCCCTGTCAGTCTAGAATTCTATGTGCAGTAAAAGTATCCTTCAAAAACAAAGTCATCATGCAACTGTAGACAAAAGTGGAGGGGCTGCGGTGCCGAGAGATTGACAGCTCAGAACCGCTGCAGGGAATCCTGCAGGCAGAAGAGGAAGCCCAGATGGAAACTTCACTGTATTCAGAAAGAGGCATGCTAGAAACTTGAAATTGCAAATAGTTATTTTTTCTAATTTTTAAACTTGTTTAAAAGACAATTCAACACTTAAGTGAAAACAGTGCAATGTGGGGCTGTAACAGACAGAGAAGTAAAATGTAGGATGATAACAGTTGAGAGGAGATCCTGAGAAAATAAACTTTGTCAGGTTTTTACATTAGATGTTAATTGGTATAATGTTATTTGGAAGAAAATTTTGATAAATTAAACACATAAATTGTAAACACTAGATCAAACATGGGGGAAAAACAAAGAGAGCTAATAAGCTGATGGTAAGCTAATATGGAACCTTAAAAAAAATACCCAACATGAAGTAAGAGAAGAGAGAGAAGCAAAGAGTAGATAAGACAAACATGCAACTAATAGCAAAATAATCGATTTAAATCTGACTGTAAAAATAATTACATTAAACGCAAAAGATAATAACATTCCAATTGAAAGACAGAAATTTTCAGAATAGGAGAAAAAGTAAGATTTGACTGTTACTTCTAAAAAACCCATTTTAAATATAAAGTCATGTATAATTAAAAATGGAAATATCTACATCATCTAGAACCTAATCAAAAGAAAGCTGTAGTGGCCATATTAATATAAGAAAAATAGACCGCAGGAAAGAAGTATTATCAGGGAAAATAAAGCACAGCAAAATAATGCAGGGATAGATTCCTCTAGATGGCACAAAACTCTATAATGTGCAGGCACCAAATAACACTACAGAACCTAAAAGAAAATTGGAATAATCCTCAAATATATGTAAAGATTTCACCACCCATTCTCATTAATTAATAGGACAAATAGACTGAAAGTTAGGACAGAAATAGAAACCTTAAAGAATGTTGCCAGCCAATTTGACCCAGCTTGATCCAGTTAGCACGCCCAGAAGACCTTAGCACCAGGGTAAACAGACTTTTCCTTGAAGGCCACAGGAAGCGGACCACAAAAGCAATATATGTGGTCTTAAAAGAAGACAGCGATTTAAAAAAATGAAATCATATAGAGTATGTTCTCTTGCTACACAGAATTAAATTAGAAATACATTAACAATCCTATCTCTGGATAAGATCCAAACATTTTGAATTGAAATTACACTTCTAAAGGAGAAATCACAATAGAACTGAAAAGCTCTGAATTGAATAAAAATTAAATTAAGCACATTACAAAATTTATGAGACAACTAAATTAGTGCTGAGATAAATTTGTTGTATTAAATATTTATTTCAGTGAAGAAACATTTCTAATCAATAACCTAAGCTTCCATACTAAGAAAGAAGGAGAAAAGAACCAGATAAATCCAACGTAAGCAAAGGGAAGGATATAAAATCAGAATCACACATTGAATGAAAGATAAAATTGAATGACAATTAAAAGAATAAAGCCAAAATGATTTCCTTGAAAGGATCTAACATTTGAAAATATACAGCTAGACTGCTTAAGAAAGAGAAGAGCTGGAAATGGTCAACATGGAGAACAAAAGAGGAACATTACCAGAGATGGTGCAAGCGCTGAAAGGGTGGGAGGACGCCAAGAACAACCGTAAACCAATAATCCTGACAATCCAGGGGAGTTGGGCAATTCCTTGAACGGCAAAAATCGCCAAAATTGACACAAGAAAGATAAAATGATCTGAATAACTCTAAATCTATGAAACAGAATGTCTTTTTGATGGAAAATCTCCCAGTAAAAAACCCAGGCTCAAGTCACTTTTCTTGGAAATTCTAGCATACCTTGGAGGAATGAATAAAGCCCATCCACTGTAAACCCCTTCAGAAAACTGGAGATGAGACCCTATCTA